GCCTGAATAGCATTCTGGATGGGCTCCAAAGCGAGGCGAGTTACATGCAATTAGCATTTAAGTAAGTTGGCCAAAAGCCAACTTCTACCTAGGCAAATATTGAAGTTGCGGATCGATGTGTTTACCGATTGTTTTTGCGTGTAATTTATTTGAGTCACTTGTAAACACCTGCATAATTGGCACGACAACAATTAAGTCAAATATACAGAGGAATGCAGAGTGTGTGTGTGAGAGAGAGAGAGAGAGAGAGTGAGAGAGATTCTTACTAGTTACTATTCTCAATATATGAAGTAATATACTATTATACTATATAATGAGTAATAATATTATATATAAATAGAAGAAAAAACCCCTCACTACGCATCGGTCGACTGAACCGTAATATTAGGCCAGAGCTGCAATCAGATAAGCAACTTTTTATGAAATACTAAAGTGAAACTCCATTAAGAACATTTCAGCTGCCTTTACGCTGGCAAGGTCAGTTCAATAACTTTCAGACTTAAGCTGAGAATACAAAATATAAACAACAGATTTAATGGATCCTCTCCTCATTTTTGTAAGCTCTTTTAAAAAGGGGAGCTACCCGGCTACTTAGCACTTTTCTACAAGTATTATTAGCTTTACATACATTTTTAATTCATTCTCAAATTACGTCTCACGAATATTTTCTTTTCTTCAAAAAAAAAAAAAAAATAATAATAATAATAAAAGGTGAATCGTTCAAAGGTAAATTGTTCACTAATTGCTTAAAACAAAGTGCGCACTTCAAAACTCGACCTTGAAATGTCGGAAAGCTAAAGGGAGCGAAACTCTTGGCATAATATATGTCCCTCACAGTAGTGACTCCACTTTCATGATTATATTTATACCTAAGTAGTATATAATCACCATCAGAGCTCGAACAGATCGTTGAGGCAGCTAACGCTTCAGATCTCACTTTGCAACAAGTAAAAACATTCCAGTCAACTCAATCAACTGAATAATACTCGTTCAGCCGCTCTACTTATAAGCAGCGGACCATATAATTTATATGTATGTAGCTCTACTTGTAGAGGCGTTCAAGTATACTGAGCAAAGCTTCGTACTCCTAGCTCAAACACAAATGAAATATTAGGCTTTCAGATTTTCTTTAAAATAAGTTTTATATTTGAGAAGGTTTTTTAAAATAAATATTTCATCGCTATACACATAATTGTTATCAATAAAGTTTAGAAAAAAAATATATTTAATAAAAATTTAATAATATATTTAATAACATTTACGAAGAAAAAAAAATTCCAAGTAATGTTCCAAAACTACTCCATAAACTATGTCATAAAATTGTATTCTCATCAAATATTTTATTTATAATCCTATCATTTATTTTATGAAATATTCCATAAAATATTCTATTCTGCAACGATCGTACATACAACCAATATACTTTTCTCACATGATGAACAAGTACGAAAAGGTTCTTTTGCATTAAAAGATCAATAACTCTTTTCATTGCCTCGTAAATCAGATTCGGTTTCGCGGGTTTTTTCATTTAATCATTTAACGTAATTGGATTTCGTATAGTGCACACAGTTGGAGAATATATCAGTTTTATTAGCTAAGATTGAAACAAGTTTTTTATGCACGACCTTGCCAATCGGAACTAAGGCCTTTAATTTAAATTATGTATAAGTTTAAAAGTGAGTATTCTATTGTGTGGTGGGCTATAAGAGAAGAAACAACTTTTGTATAGTCAGTTTTAGCTAGAGTATACTGTAAAACTTGCTCCTTCGTTTATCTAGGTTGATAAACGTTTTTGTAGAACCCAAAAATTTGATAACCACAGTGCATAACTAATCAGAAAATATCCAATTGATATACGAGTGGCATAGGTAAGCTTCACTGTAGTCAATCAAATTGCTATGAGTTGACATAGATTCAAAATCAAATTTAATTTCCTTAAATCGGAAATAAATTTAAAATTTTAAATATTGAGTTTATATTATACTTATATATATCCCTATCAGTTGATTTTCTTTACAAATACATTAAATGGTTTTTAGCTATGTTTCTTCCTCGTTACTTAACTCTGTGATTATTCAAATAAAATAAATTATTCTCAAATTAGAAATTCAATTCATTCTCTTTCGAGCTAAAAATCTTGAATCAACGTCTAGAGTAAAACAGTTCGCCTTGACTTCATATGAAACAACAAGCAGCTGTAGCTTGAGTCAGTCAGAGATTGAGTATTGAGTACATTAGTCTACGCACGACTAATATACGTGAGAGAATTGTTTTTCAGGTATTTGACAACACAGGCAATTAAACATGAAAGCTACATTGCCTAATTGTCAGCTATAAATGTAGACAGGTTTTCCAAGATATGCGGGGGGAGGAAGGTGGGAGGCTAAACAGCTTCAAGCGAGAACTCAGATACTATTATCTGTCGGTAAGTGAAACATGAATATATGAAAATATGTTTAATTTTATCTATTATAAAGATTGAGAATATATATGTGCATCAATTAGCAATTTCTATCAAGATCTTGAATTGTATTTATACGCCCATATATCTATTATGTCGGAACATTGAGAATATATATTCCCAGGAATTTCATAATTATGTTTTTGATTTGAGTTCCGTCATTTTTGTTTTTACTTGTATAGAATATACATATATAGAATATTGATTGATGATGAATGCGTCATTTGTGTAAAATACTTTTGAGTGATTCAATTCACATTAACATGGGAATTACTTCCTTGAATAAATATGCTCTTGCTAGGCATTTAGCTTTCATATTTCAGTCAAAACAATTTTCTAGTGCTTTAGCTGTCTTCTATTTATTAGCTTTTAGATAGGTCGGCTGATTGCCTTATAAGTGTCTGAAAAGTTCTTTGCGTGATATGAAGTCCGTTTGTCGAGGCCAAGTCAGCAGACGTTGAACGATTGGCTTTAGGTCTTATCTATAAACCGAAAGTTGTCCAACATACCTTCAATTACATATATATATTGCTCGCTTTTGATGAGATTACAATACCCAGCGGCTTCTTCATAGTAATTGACCATGCTTTATAAGAGCTCACGCTTCTACAAATAGTGCAACTGTTTATTTGCTCGCCTAATAGCGACTTTTATGGCCAGGGCACATGACAAGCAACACATAAATTCGCGAATGTCAAATTGAAATCACATTTCATTTAAAATTATGATAAATTGATATTCTATTATATTGTAACACGCACAAATAAACATACACGCATATCTGTACATATATACATATGTATAAAACTTGCCAGCGCACATCTGTGTAATTAAATGTGTTCATACCACTAACATGCATATATGCACATGTACATCCACACACACACACTGCCTGTATGTTAACGATTTGGGGAATTCGAGAAACTCGCAGAAGCAAACAAAACCGGAACCAGTTGCTTGAGAAGATTCGCCTGGTTATAAGAGTTAGTTAACGGTCTCAACGCTTAGCTGTTCCACTGGAATTGGTGATCCGTTGCAAATTTTCATTTTTCAACTTATGGGAAGTCGAGCTGCTCAGGGTCAGCGCAGCGTGTTGAGTTGTAAGTTATTTCCAATTACAGGTTATTAAGCCCCTCTCGCTCTCCCTTTGGCTCTTGCACTCTCCACGTAACACATAAGGAGTCGAGTTCACTTCGTAAAGGCTCTTTCACTTCACTTGTTTGTTTGCCGAACTGCTTTCGTTTTGTTAAAGCTTTCAACAGCTCCTCGCATACTCACACACATGCACGGCGCACACTTGGAAAGCTTTTTTGCCACAGCCTTACGTACTTGTATATTTTCTTTATTTATATGCCACTCTTGCAAACACTTTGTTGACAATTTTTGTATTATTTTATTCACGTTATAAACTAAAACCACATAACACGACGAACTTCACACGAACCACAAGACGTAAACGGCAAAAGCTTCGCGCACGTTTGTCAGCTTCAACATTCGTCGGTTTACTGAACGCGATACAACGGCGACGCGAACGACTTTATCATCAATGATTTGACTTGAATTTGATCAAGCCGTAAGACAATGGTGTATGTATGTATGAATGTACATGTGTATATAATCGGAGATTGTGCTTTTGATAAAAGAGAGAATTTACTTTTAAATTCACTTTTTAAATAATAAATTCAAGTGTTTATAAATAAGTATGATTAGATAATTTTTTAATTACTTGTAGTATTCTAAGAGTTTCATTGTATATCAGCACTTTAAACGCAGACGATTTCAACCTGAGAGACATTCAAAACTACGCGCTCTCCTTTCCAATTCGCAAAGTTTTGTTTTAACATATTTTTTACTGAAATGTTACTTGTAAATTTTTATAAATAACAATCAAAAATACAATCTAATTAATTACGTTCCGATTTTCAGAAAGATTCAAGATCAAATAAACGGTATTTATCATTTTGTAGAAAACACCAACATACCGTTTTCTATGGCAACCATATCGAAAGAGATTTTTAATATAAATTTTATTAATTTATGAACTCGTCACATCTCTTTGATGAATTTACAACAGATAACAAATAATATTCTACATTTAATCCGATTGAACATGTGAAAATGATACTTAAATGCTTAAAGAATAATAATTATAAATAAAACATTGTTGGTGAAAAACTGAAATTGCCTATCGATAATATTCAAATGTTACATTTAAATATTGGTGATCTCATAGCAGCTCAAAATGTTATTCATATGAAATGTTTCAAGAGTTTTCACAATGAGTAACGTTATGTTTACGAAAACTCATAATCACTGATGGTAAAGATTAAAATGTAACTTTTAATGTTATGGAAATTTATATGAAAACTTTAAGCAATTTTCATAATAAATAATCGATTATATATAAATGTAATGTTTGAATGTAAGGCGAATTCACAACATCTCAATATAAGCTTAACAGTGCCATTTGGAGCATGGCCGCTGTTAAATCGAATATATCACATTTATCGAGAGAAAAAACACAGAGACAACAGTGAGTGAGAAAGAGAGAAAAACCGAAAAACACATCACTACAGTCGACCTATTTTCAGGTAGTAGGAGAAAAAAAGCAATATTTTGCGGAAAACTCACGAATCGTATTTTAACAAAATACGCATTATACAAACATTGTTAAAGAGCAACCACATTAGCATTTAACTGATAAGCAAATGTGCGCAAAATGAAAGTAACAATCAAGTCATGGACGGGCGTTGCATCTTGGCGTTGGATAGCGAATGATGAGAATTGTGGCATTTGTCGCATGTCCTTTGAGAGCACTTGCCCCGAGTGTGCGCTGCCCGGTGACGACTGCCCACTGGTGTGGGGTGTTTGCTCCCATTGCTTTCACATGCATTGCATTGTCAAGTGGCTGAATTTGCAACCGTTGAACAAACAGTGTCCAATGTGCCGCCAAAGCTGGAAATTCAATATACACTAAAAAAAAAAAGCCAAACTAAGCCCGAAACACGAAAAGCAAAGTAAAGAAAGAAAAACAGAGTGCGAGAACGAATAGAAAAAGATTACGAGTGCAAGAGAGCGAAATTCACAGAGAGCAAGAACAACGAAAGCGAACTTTTATGATTTTTTTTTTTATATTTGCAAAATGATGGAAAACACTGATCAACAGCTACAACAACGCCAGTTGCAGCTGCAACAACAACAGCAACACTCGTTAATCGGTCTGCCACCACTGCCAAAAAGTCTGAGCGCCGCTGCTGCCACCATTGGATCGGATCTGGCGAGCGGCCACGCACAGAGCCAGGTGCACGGACAGTCGCAGCTGCGCTCGCATACCTCCTCCCCGCTGCAGCTGCAGTCGGCCACGTCTGTTGCCGCTCTAACCGCTGCAACTGGCGATCTGTACCTGGGGCCATCCACCTCGTCGGCGGCGCGCAATCGCAATTATAATGGCCATGGGCGCCATGGCAGCCTATCCTCCACCCAGGAGTCGCTCAGCGATCGAGAGAGCGTGCACAGTCGCGCATCGTCCACGCATAGTGCGAGTGGCAGCACCGCCCAGCAGCAGCAGCACACGCCCACCAACAGCAGTAGCAACGCCTCCAGCACCATTGACAACCAGCTGGCGATATTGCGCCGGGAGATGTATGGACTACGGCAGCTGGACTTGTCGCTGCTGTCGCAGCTGTGGGCCCTGAATGAATCCATTCAGGGCTTTCGAGTGTTTCTGCAGGAGCAGGATGCGCTGTCGCCGCCGTCCCGCTCGCGCACGCCATCCGATGCCAACTCGCTGTCGTCTGACGAGGATGACGGCTCCTATGCACCGCTCGCGGTGCCCAAGCTGAATGTGCCGCCGGCAAGCATTGCTGCGCTCTCCTCGCCAGCGGCTAGCGGGAGTTTGCCCACCAAATTGGCGACGGGTTCGACGACTTCGCATGCATCGACCAGCTCCACATCTGGGGCGTCCGGCTCATCGTCGGCAGCGTCTTCAATGGGCAAGCACCACCATCATCAGCAGCAACAGCAGCAGCAGCAACAACAGATGCCTCACTATCATCATCAGCATCGATCCGCACCCCCACCTGCGCCGCCCGCCCAGCACAAGGCGCATCCGCAGTTGCCGCGCATACTGCAGCAACGCATGCGGCATGCCCCGCCTCCGCCGCCACCCACGCGGCCCAAAGGCGGCGGCGCCAGCAGCAGCAGCAGCAATCACAGCATCAGCAGTGTCTCACAGCAGCAGCAGCACCACCAACAACAACAACAGCATTCGCATCAGCATCAGCAGCTACTGCATCAGAGTTCGCAGCATCAGAGGCCCGTATGACAAAACCCGTTCTTGGACTAAGCAATGCCTGGTCCAAGAACGCCAGTTGATCATAGATACCAATAAAAAGCAACAAACAATAAACCACAAACAACAAACAAAGAAGCAACAAAACATTTCTGAAAAGTCAATTGCACATTTAACCGAAAGTCAATTAAGATTTAGAAAAACATTCGAAAGGGCAGCTGAATGCGACTTGTGATCTTGCCTGACAGCAGCTGCATCCACATACAGCCACCCAAAACAAATACCCCTTAAATAATATCACACACACACAAACATCCAAGCTTGCCATTCGTTCCATTTCGTTCTTGGACTTAGGAAATTTATCACTTACCAATCTCGAATGGTTAAATTTTTGCAAAAAAAAAAAAAAATAATAATAAAATAAAATGAAAAGCAAAACAAACAAAAAATGAAACGAAATTGTATTCAATAATAATAATCTTTAAATAGTTAAGGATGTAATCCTTCGATAAGTACTACGTATATCGCATATTTATAAAAAAAAAATATATATATATATACATATAATCTATTTGTATATTAGCCGTAAAAAAAAACGAAATGATAAATTGCTGCTTTCAAATAGAAACATTGAGCATCGAAACAAAAACAATACGAGGGCATTTCTTAAACAAACAAAAACCACATAAAAAATGTTAGCAAGCATAAACTTTGTTAAATTACCTATTGTACTATTTGAACCTATTCTAAAACCTAAAACGCTATAAAAAAGCATACTCACTCATTAGAATTAACCAAAAACTGAACTCTTGGTCAACAAAAGAAAAAAAAAAGAAACAAAACTATTATAACTATCGTATCTATATGCATATTATTTTGTTATTCTCCTCTACTGAGAAAAACGTAGGCAGATTGTTAATTGAAAGAAAGATGTTAATCTGCTACACATAGAGACACTCGAGTATATTAGAAATTAATAATCCCAAACTGGAATAGAACTCTTCCTCATAGGCATTCTTTCAAGATACATATTCTGAAATTAGGCATTAAGTATTTGATATTGTGCCTGAATATATCGATTCGTATTCCATTTACCATTCCCCAATATCCCAGCGCCTGAGTGTCCTTGTGGCCAGCTTTGACGAAGAAACGAATCAAAACAGAACAAAAAAAAATCATTACTGTTCCAAAATCGTCAATAGATTTCGAATAGCTGAAATCTAAAATATTGAGTAGGTGCTTTTGAGAACAAAGATAACATATATACATAACTATTTATCTTACTGGGCAACAAAACTAAATAAACAAATCTTACGTAATAAATAGAGAAACAATAGAAAATATTAACTAGAAGCAATGCTATCTATATAGATTGTGGTGCTCATTGGCAGTCAAAATTTAGGAAATTTCAGTTTATTTTTTTAATTTTTGTTCAACTCTGACTGAGCCGCTTCAAATATCACCCATTAACGAGAATGATCGACAATATCTATCCAAAATAAAAATCGAGTTATATGCTTCTAGAGCAAAGAAATATAGGAACAAAAATTACAAATTTCCTTTTCCTTTTTATTGGATAGTTTATAGCGTTTATCTATTGATCTAGTGAGCAGTAAAAATTAAGTTCATGAATTTTCAAAATTTGTAATATTTCTCTAATTCAAATACCTTTGCCGAAACATCTCTAATGTCGTGTTCAAGGAGTTCAATCAAAATCTCAAATATTCTAAAGCTAATGCATCAGCCATTGCACTCAGATCATTGCCCAATGAATTTTCTAATGCATTAGTATATAAAACAACGTACATATATAAACTTTTAAGTATGCTCTACGGCGTATGCCAAGCATTTATTGAAAGTTTATACGGAATCCGGAAAAAGGAATGGAACTTTCAGAAAGCGTGTTTGGGTAGCAATTTGTTGATAGTAATAATAAATTGATGACTTTTTGTATGAAGCCTGGTAACAAGAGAGAAACAAATATCGTTAAAATGTAATGGAAAATAATAAATAAACAACCAACAAATTTGAAAATCTTAACAATAAATATCACTTTAAATACTACAAGGATTTCTATGATCTCTATATGTATAGTATTTTATATAAATAGTTCTATTATATTTATTGAATTTATTTCTTAATTTCATTAAAAAATTTTATTTTATGAAAATAATTTTCGACTAGTGTTACAATATTATTATTATGATTTTAGTTATTTATTCTTTTAAGCACTTTGGCCTGGGTTTTCAGAAAAGCAAAAATATTTAAAAAATGTTTAATATTTTCCTTCAATACTAGTTTAATCTTTTAACTATTTTGAAAGTTTTTTCTTGATTTGGGACTTTAGCTCGTCATTTCGTTAAGTGTAAACATTCAATAATTAAATATATTATAAAATATTGCGAATCTTGAATGTTTATATACAATTTTAGCAAAGGTTCAATTTTGGAACTGTCAAAGATTTAGATAAACGAGACTTTAATTTCATAAGATCAAGTTTTGTAATTTTTAATAAAATATTTATGAGATTTGATTTACAATGAACTTTTGGCATGTTATTTGACCTTCCTCTTTGGGAGTTCACCTATTATGTTACGAACTTTTCAAATGTAATGATTAATGTGTGAGCCGATTGGGGAGATTATAAACTCAGTATTAAAACTTAAAAGAAGAATTTCTGATAAAAGAAAAATGAAGTCAGCTATTACATATTGAATATCCTGCGAAATTCAACTTTTTTATTTGAGTGTCTATTTATAAAATCAATAAGTATAAAAAATAATGTCAAATTTGTGCATAAAAATTCACACTTATCATAAAGTTATCTTAATTTTATTGAGTACAAAAAGAAGATTCCCTGAGTTAAGTACTAAAGGCGCCACAGCAATTGGATGGGATTTCTGAAAAGTATGAGAGATTTTTCATATGAGAGAATTTCGGAGACCGGAGAGAAATGTAACTCACTATTGGTCTCTTCCCAGCCCAAGGGAACGCCTAAGCGCTTGTTCTCGCGCTTGAGCCATTGATAGAGTGGATCAAAGTATTCGAGTAGTGCAGCTGGATCCATTTCAGTTTCGCCCGTAAACTCCTCCAGGACTTCCTTCCAGTGTCTCGAATTGCCAGCCGACAAGAATTTCTTGAATGCATCGCCCGCCCTTCGGCTGCCAAAGATGTCGCAATTGTCCAGAGTTCGGGTACTGTCGCCAGGCGCATACTGTCCGGCTAGACGGCACAGAGCCTTGTGGAATTGGAATTGGAATATGTGGGCAGCAAAGTAGCGCAGATACTCGACATCGGCATCAATGTGGTACTTGGCCGGAGGATCAAAGTCCTTGTCGCTGCGAGCCATTGGTGGTTCGACGCCACCGAACTCGGAACGCATCTGCCAGAAGCCGCAGTTCCATTGCGACTCGTCCAGCTCGCCGCGGAACACAGCATAGCGATACTTGTCCATGGTGTAGCCAAAGGGCAGGAAGACAATCTTGGAGAGCGCTCGCTTGAACAGCTCATTGATCCGGCTCTCCTCGTCTAGAGTTCCGTTGCTGGTGAGGTTGATGCTCTGCAGATGTTTGGCGGACATTACCGACAGCGCTATGACATCACCCACAGCTTCATGGAAGCCCGGATTGGGGGCTCCTCGATAAACAGCGGGCTGTTGCTCGTATTGCAAATAGTATTGAATGTGGCCCAGCTCATGGTGCACCACGTACAGGTAATGGGTGTTCACCTCGGTGCACATCTTGATGCGGACATCGCTGTCCTGATAAAAGTCCCAGGCAGAGGCGTGGCACACCACTTCGCGATCTGCGGGTCGTGTGAGCACACTTCGATTCCAGAAAGTCGTGGGCAGAGCGCGCATGCCCAGTGATTGGAAGAACTGGTCGCCCAGCTCGAACAGCTTCTGCACGCTATATGCCTGTCGCTCCATTTCCGATGTGACGTCCACAAATGGCCTCTCCGGATACGGTGTGAACAGATCGATGACCTCGTTCCACGACTGCCCCCACATGTTGCCCAGCAGATGCATGGGAATGTTGCCCTCAGCGGGCACCACCTCGGGTCCATAATGCTGGCGCAGACGGTACCTCACATAGCCATGGATCTGTCTGTAGAAGGGCAGCAATGCTTTGTAGGTGGCGTCCAGCTGGCTCTCAAAGGTGGCATCTTCATAGAAGTGGACCCAGTAATCGGCATACGAGCGATAGCCTACAAAACGAGCATTGTGTACATTGTGTCGGGGATCAAGGGGTTATCTGGGTCTATTAGGCACCGCGCATCTCTTACCATTCATATTGGCTGCTTTGCGCGTCAATCGCACATATTTGGCAAAGTTATCACGCATTGGTGTCCCCGCCTTATCGTACCATTCGCGCCAATACCAGGCCAGCTCGGCCGGATCGCGACTGTTGGACAGACGCTCTTGGATGTGCGGCTCAAGCGTCAAGGAGCAGTTGGTGCGATTCGTGTAGGAGCAAACAGTGGTGGTGGCATAATTGGATTGCATGGCGCTTATTGCGTTCTTCAACTCCAAATAGTCACTGGGCTCGAGTACATCCGCACCTAGTTCCTGGAGCATTCGCGCCTGCCTGCGAATGTTTCCATCCTCCGACTTGGCATAGTTGGCCGCTCGAATAGTCTGCGCCAATAATTTGTTCTGCCTGGCGCCTTCAGCATAGACCGCTATCATGGCCTGACGATTCTCCTCCGTCACGTTGGTGTTGTACGTGAATGCAGCGGAATATTCGGAATGGTACCGTTCACGCAACTTCGAATTCTCCTGCTCGAAAAAGCAATGAGCCTGCTGCGCCGAGGCGGAACAAGTCTCATACGCAGTTCCATAGGGCAGCTGAACATATACATAGATTTCTGTATATACTGATGTAAATTGATAATTATTGCAAACACTCACCCACGGCACAAGTGCAAAGGCCACCAAGCAATATACTAGCAGACTCCTCATTGCATCCAGTCTAATCTCTCCTCTGAACCGTTATCAGTGCTAGACTAACTGTGAATTTTTAGAGCACTCAGACAGTGCTACTTGTTTCGATTACAGAGCACTGTTAAGCAGTATAAGTTCACAGGACAGTGAGAGCCTGTATTGTGAACGTGTGCTAGTGATGAGCTGCTCGCAGCTAGCTCTGGGCTAATGCTATTCGACTTCTGGACGCCCGCCAACAAATTGTGCAGCTTTTATGCCTATGCTCACGTTCGGTCACTATCTCTCGCACACAAGCTCTGTTAAAAGACGCACAGCACAGTTTCATTGACAGACAGACTCTCAAGTCGCGTATCGATACTTTCCCCTTTGTATTTTTTTTTAAATGCTTAAAACAATTTTGTTGTATATTTCACGCGTACTCGTTTAACGGCTTCTAATCAATTGTCACAGTTGCACATAGAAAATATACTCAAATAACAGTTCGCTTTATCAGTTTCAACTTGGGGTATAAAAAAATAGCTTCATATTCTCTTATAATGCGTGGTAGATTATAGAATTGGGTGTTCATTTGCATTAAGGCTGATACAGATATTTACATAATGCAATTACATATATACATATTTATTAACATAATAATGCAATTACATACATACATACTAATTTACATAACAATGCAATTATTTACATATTACAATTACATACATACATACTTGTTTGTTTACATGTCAATGCAATTACATACATACAAATATGTATCAAAGCGATCGATTTATATATTTATTCTTTAGTCTCCATGGACAACTTGGGCTTAGATCTGTGTCTGGGAGAATTAAGGGAAATAACTATTATTTTATTATTTTTTAAGAATACATATATATGTAACTATGTAACAAGAAAACTATTTGGTCTAGTAAATTGGAAAATTCTGGTCTACCAGCTTTGTCCAAGCATGCATGCCATCCTCCAGGTCGCGTATGGAATGATCGGGAAAACGAGTCTTCATATGCTGCACGGCAATCTGTGAATCATTTCCACGCCGGCAAACAACAAATATGGGATACTCTTTGCTCTCCAGCTGCTGGGCAAATCGTTGGACGTAGCTGTCGTCTAGAATCTGGGCCAAAGGAACATTCACGGCGTCGGGTAGTTGACAAATTTCGAACTCCGCCGGCGGGCGTACGTCCAGTAACAAATGAGATTTCTTCTCGGTCGCTAGTTTATGGTAGTCCAGCACGTTGATGCGCTGCTCCGGTTCCAACAATTGCAGCGCGTTGTCCTTGTCGTTGGCATTCATGCCACAGAAGAGCTCGTAGTCAATAAGTCCGGTGATCAATGGCTGGGAAGAGCAGACATGGCAATTGGGTCGCTTGCCCCGGATCTTGATATTGCGAAATTGGCAGCTGCTGCCGTCAAAGATGAGCATGCGCCCGGCCAGAACCTCGCCCAGTCCGACAATCACTTTGATAGCCTCCATGGCTTGCAGGGCGCCAATGGTGCCGGTGACAGCTCCCAGGACGCCACCATCGCCGCAATTGGTGACCGCCTCTGGCGGCGGTGGCACCGGATAAATGCAACGATAGCACGGTCCATTCTCTCCATAGCAGTAAACCGTTAGCTGTCCGTCCATTTTAAGTGCGCTGCCCGAGACCAGGGGCTTCTGTAGTATGGAGCAGGCATCGTTCAGTAGATAGCGTGTGGCCACATTGTCACTGCAGTCGAGGATCACGTCATATGCGGGGATGATCTGCATCGCATTGAAACTGTTCAGAAGATTCGAATAACATATGATCCGACAGTGCGGATTCAGCTCCAGTAATGCGATGCGAGCTGATTCCGCCTTCGAAATGCCACACCGCGACACCGTGTGTAGGGTCTGACGATGCAGATTGCTGGGCTCCACTTCGTCATAGTCGACCAGGCCTAGATTGCCGCACCCCGCGCTGGCCAGATATTGCGCGGCTGGGCAGCCAAGGCCACCCAAGCCCACAATGAGCACGGCGCTGTTCTTGAGCTTCATCTGGCCACTCACACCAAAATCAGTTAGGATCAGCTGTCGACTGTAGCGCGCTATATCATCGTTGCTTAGCTCTGTGTAGTGATCCCTTGGCGCGAGCTGCACTTCACCTTC